CATCAATTCGAGCTCTAATAATAACTCGAATTCTCGTTGAATTCCGAAACGAGGGTACCTTGTAGGCGGCCCACATCGCAGGCGTCATCATTGTTTCATCCCGTTCGTCTGCAGACTGTCCAGCAGCAATCAGATATGCAGCAGTTGCGGTTCTTCCAAACTGCACCGCCACATGCAAGGGAGTGAATCCTGGAAAATTTTGATATGCCGGGAATATTCAAATGTGATTACATGTGTGTATGCGTGTGTGTGTGTGTCTCAAACTCCAGTGATATTTGAATGGAATTATTTTTAACCTTCGACATCGCGGAGATGTAAGTCGGCGCCATGGGTGACCAGCAGAGCGACCATATGTGTATGGCCATGACGTGCAGCCCAGTGCAGAGGCGTGGAGGAGAGAACGCCACCCACCGCATTTACGTTGCATGAGCATGCTATAAGCATTCGTGCAACCGGTAAACTGAAATGTGAACCGAGCTCAAATTATTAATGAAAATAGTGCCAAATTTGTGGGAAGAAATGGATGGCTCAATGAAGACAGGACAAGAAAACAGTTTATCTAAGACGGATAAGCAGGAGGAGCTCGGACAAGTGGCAAACGACCGAACCGGAGAGGCAGAAATTCACGAAAGAAATGGAAAATTTAGTTCAAAAGTCATTAATGTGGATTTGAAAGTAATGAACTGTTTAAAAAAACACTACATATACATAAATTTAAAAAATTTTCCCTACCAAAGATGTTTCAATATTAAAAATATTGGCAGCAACCCTCTTGTATTATAACAAATCAAACCGGCCAGTTTCCTATCCTTTTCCTTTTTTAATTTTCTATAATTTCTATTATTCAAGAAATTAGTCTTTTATATAAATTGATATGCAATTATTTTACATCACTCCTTAAATACGCATTAACACTACAACTGCTGTTCATGAGGGCTATAACGCGTACCACTTAAAGGACCATGGTATTACTTCTCATCGAGATATTTGTTTAGTATGCAGTATACATTATGTACATTATACATGTTATCATTAGTGTTCTTGCTATGCCAACAAGTCAGCGCTACAACAAAATCCACGAGCTAAAATCCATGAGCTCCTATCTGTATTGAAACAGACTAACAGGTGCGATTATGCGTTTTGTACAATTCAGCCCATCGAACGA